TCATTATACAGCTAAGCAAGCACTTCACATTGGTTATGTCATGTTCATTCCATGGATGAAATGTTCTTGGGGCTGCATTGTTAATTCTTGTGGATGATAGTTCCAGATAGAAGGAACGCAGCCCATCTGTTGATGCACAATTTATCAGCCCCCTGTACACCAATCATCAGTGAAATTGGACCCCCCATGGGACCACCATTAACCAGATATTATTTGGGTGGTGAACCTTTCTCAGCACAGCAGTCACACTGAAATGGTATCTAGGTAAATGTGTTGGTGCACTCTTAAAATAGGGTCTATAGAGTGTTACCAAAGAAACTACCTTTGGTTCTCCAAAAGAACCATGTTTGAAAAAGACATATATATGTGAAAACCCCTTTTAAACCTTTTGAAGAACCATTATATCTACACAAATGTCTGTCAATTTATAGGTTTTCTCCTAAAACTGCACTATTTGGATGTTCTCTATTCTATAAAAAGGTTCTACCCACTCACACATCTCATTTACAAAAATGGTCTATGACCATCCACAAAATGTTTAAGACAACCAGCAGTAGTTGTCTTATGACATTGCACAAAGAACCCTTTTTTGGACCTTTATTTTTAAGAGTGAATTTATGTATCAAGCACAGCAGTGTTGACCAATGAAAAAAGGTACTGTAGGTAAATTTTTCTGTAACCCTTTTCAAACAGCCATAATTAATTTTTACATGAACATTTACCAACCTCTCTTTATCCTTTAGAGTTAAACAGGCTGCTTTTGTTACTGTGACTTTAAGATTGATATATGTAAACTAGCTCTGTCCAGGGCTGAAACACTCTTTATAACATCAGCATGAATGGGCAGGGCTAAACCACTGTAGGCTGAATTATCAGATAATTGTAAACATGTTGATTTTGGTGACATCACAAAAATAATTAATTCAATAGTTTTTTCAGCTTAGATTTTATGGATAAACTATATTGATTTGGGAATGAAGGGCATGTTCTGAAAGTTTAATACATCAAACTAAAAAGTGAGGAAAATTCAGTTCTCTTTTGTTTGGGTTTAAAAAAAAAGAACGGTCATAATTCTTTTTTATGTGACCATTTTCCAACCTGTCTTTTTTGCTTCAAATTGAACAGACTATTTTGTTAGTGTGCCCTCAAGACTGATTTAAGGAAAGAAGCTTTGTTCTAATTGGCTGTACTTCATTTAAAAAGCAGTCCAGGGCAGAACCATTCCTTATAACTAAAGGCTAAATAGGCAGATATATGTAAATGTGTTGATTTTTGTAATGTCACAAAAACAGTTCATTCAAAATCAGCCGCTTCTGCAGCTTAGTTTCCATGTATGGACTGTTGAGTGAACTGTCAACAACTGCTTTAAACCTTCAACCCTTTAAAATCCCACTCTTATTACCTACATACAGCTTATTATTCAGTAACTACAGGGACTTCGGTGCAAACTAGTTGAGCTATTTTTAGGTTATAGAAGTATGTAATTACACTGGTGGGCCCTGATCATGTACAGGGGTTACCAAAGTTTACATACCATGTTGAGCACTTATAGTTTAAATAAATAGTGAGGAAAATCCAGTTTTCCATTAAATGGACCCTTTCAATGTGTCACAGTGTTTAGATGCACTGTTCAACAATGTGAGGACAATCTAAGGAAAGCTTGACGGTATCACTAAATAAACTCTTGAATTCTAGGCTTATTATTTAGATATTAATCTAAAAACATATTAATTAGTAACTAATATGAATTATTTGGTTACTACTTTCACACTAAGTGAGGAACTGGATTGTGCAGCCACATTCAGACTCTTGGGGTTTAAGAAGTTCAGCAAGAGAAGGCTTCATTTGAAAAATGAGGCATTTAGGTTTAAAACACCAGTGCTCAGATTATGTGGAAGTGGAATTGTATATATAAGTGTTTGGTAGCCTATATGTCAGATTTGCCATTGTGTTCTTGCCTCACTGTTGCGTGCGCTCACTCCAGGGACTCGCATTTCACGTCTTTGCAAAAGTGAATTCTGACTTACCTACATAGTCTATATCTCTCAGCGCATTCTGACTCCAGCTGCCAGTGTTTCGTGTGACTACAGTCTCTCTCCTCGGCTCTTTCAGCTGTACAGGTGCTTTGCTTTTACACCAGCCTGTAAACCCCATCATCTTCTCTCACAGTCCACACACCCCCCCTCCTCTCTCTGTGCCACAAAGGCAAGTAGGAGACGACATAAGACCGAACAGCACTGCGGAACCTGCATATCCTCTCGCCAGACGTTTTGGAAATCTTCACAGCTGTGCAGGCATGGCTCCCCTACTGAGAAAATGACAAAGCGGAGGAAACAACAACAAAAAAAACTATCACAAGCCCAATAAGCATCACAGAGGCGGAATTAGCAATGCCTTTATGAAAATGAATGCCTGTGATGGTATTGACAAGGGGCCTGTTGAGCTACCCTGCTCTGCTCAGCTCATAAACTTGGCAGGATCTCTTTATAAATGATCTACAAAACATGGTTAGAGGGGAAATACATATAAGCTCACATGTATTTGTGTGTGTGAATCAATGGTAGCTGCAGAGTCAAAAATACTGCACGCCCCAAAGAGATTCCCTATTATGATACTTTATTCTGTTTTCATATATACTTTGAGACTATCAGAAAGAACCAATATCTCTTCTCAACTATGTATTACTCTATGTCAAAAATATATGACATTCATTACAGTAATTAATGCAAATGATTTAAAACAAAATCCTCTTAGTACAATAAACAATATTTAACATGGTTCTCTCCCATTCAATACAGCATGATGTTAAAATTAGCACTTAAAATCCCTTTAGATGTCTACAGTAAAACAAACAAACAATCAAAGGGGCTAAAAAGGTCTTTGGAGTGGATTTTTAGGTCCTCTAAGGAACCTTTCAATTGATGGCTCTTTTACCTCTTAACATTCTAGGCTTATTACTTGCAAATTTTTATTATTTATTAACTACTTCAATGCACACAAATTGAGCTTTTCTTAGGTTATAGAAATGTGTAATAAAGCTTTGGGCCTGCCAGCTTTGTAAGAGGTTAAAGAACTATTTTTGTAAATGAGATGTGAAAAGGTGAAGAACATAATAAAATGTTCCTCATACTCAGAAATCTCTTCTTTGAACATGGGTGCAGAATTTTTTTTTTTTATTGATTTATTTATTGACAGGAAAGAAATTGATATTTCGGATAAGTTTGCAAAACAGTGCTAAACATCTGGATCAAAAAAACATTTCTAAAGACATGTAGGCCTACTGGGTTAACCAAGTTGACCAAGGAGAATTGCTTTAAATATTTTTTTGTTGTATTTCAGCACCATGGACGGTAACAGCAAGGCTTAGTTAATGCTAATGTTAATCCTCCAGTGTCACCTTTTGGGTTTGGTGTACAAGAACAATCAACAGTACTGAAGATAAAAAAAAACATGCTCCTATACACTCTATTGAGGTACTTTTGAACCAATATGGTAAAAACAAAATGTCTGTATTAATAATGAGCTGCACATTTTCTCTAATTCACAGCCCCAATGGCTTTTATGTAGGAAAACAGAGGGTCAGACAACTATAAATGCTTCTGGGATTTTAGCACCATGACCAGCAACAGTAGGCCTTTCCTAATCCTAATGTTCCAGTAGAAATTTAATGGCCTTACACTGTAAAAAAAAACCCCCAAAAAAAACAAAACAAAACAAAAAAAAACTTTAAACTGGCAATTCTAAAATACCAAGTTCATTGGACATCAAATAGCAAGTTAACAGAACACAAATCATATGTGTTACACTGAGTAGTTAACCCAATATTTAGATTTGAAGGTTAGTTATTTTAAGGTTAAAACTCCAAACCAGTTTTAGAGTGTATTTATCTTTTCTCCATGTAGATGAATGCACATAAGGTTTATACCAATATTTATAAGGTTTCATGGGTTTTGTGTGCAAATGTCAGAACTAATTATAGCCAAATTTCCTGAAAGACAGGAAGATATTGTATCATTATTCGAAGCACATGTTAATGTCAGATTGATGTATTCATGTATTCATGATTAATAATAAGAAAAATACGACCCCCTAAACTGATAGGCCTAATGACTTTGAGCTCACCGACCACTGTTAACAATGGGCCTGTGCGATTTCAGCACCATGGACAGCAACAAGTAGGCCTGGCTGATGTTAAAGCTCCAGTGGTGGCAAAAAATAAGAGATTTTAAATAAATGTAAGAACCTTTTGTCTTTTCATGCAAAGATTGGATAAATTATATCCAAAAAGTGCCAAAAATGTGATTATCGAAATATCATCTGGTGATTTGAACCACTGCGTTAAACTGGGAATACGACGTAACAAATAAGGACGGTCAGATCATATTTAAGAAAGGAAGACAAAGGAAAGAATACTGGTGATGAATAAGGTTTCTCTCAGCCTCGAACACTCCGCGTGTCCTGTCGTTCCCTCTCATGTCCCAGGCTCCCTTTACACAAATGTTTGGATTTTCACTCCGCCCCCTCCGGGCCCTGCGCTCATGCTGCGCTGCGATTGGCTGATCCGCGGTCTTTATGCAAATTAGTCCAAAGGGGGTGTGGCGTTTGGGGAGGCGGCGTAGTGAAGAGCCCTACGAGCTGACGTCACACGGCAGAGTGGCAACTGACACGCGGGGAAAGAAAAACAGATTGGAAACGACACGGAGGATGACAAAAATAAAGGAATAAAAATATAAATACATATAAGAGAGATAGAGAGAGAGAGAGACAACGGAGAAGCGAGTGAAGTGAGCAGGGAGAGAGAAAGACAAAGAGAAGGGACAAGAAAGAAGGGAGAGTGGAGAGAGAGAGAGGGAAAGAAATAAAGAGAGGGAGTGTGCAGTTTGGAGGTAGAGGAGAGAGAGAGCGAGGGAGAGAGCAGCTTGTGTGTATGTGAAAGAGGAGGGGGGACACAGTGAGAGGGAGGGAGAGAGAGAGAGAGAGAGAGAGAGAGAGAGAGAGAGAGAGAGAGAGAGAGAAAGATGGCTACAGTCACGGCGAACGGAGTGCAGCAGGAGAATGGCTTCAGCACCACGAACAGCTCCAGCAGAATGAACGGACTCAGCATTGGGCAGAGCACCATCCCCATGAAGGACCACGACGCCATCAAGCTCTTCATCGGACAAATACCGCGCAACCTGGAGGAGAAGGACCTCAAACCGCTCTTTGAGGAATTTGGGAAGATATACGAACTCACCGTGCTCAAAGACAGATTCACAGGAATGCATAAAGGTCGGTGAGAGCGCTGCTTTGTTAGCTCTTTAATCTCCAACCAACCCGTACAAACCGGCAAACCCCAAAACCGGTCATGACTGTGAGTGGCGATGGGTGACACGAGCGATATAATAGCGCGAGCGGGAGTCCAGCATGCATTGGACTGCTCTACTGATCTGTATATGTGTGCGTGCGTGTGCGTAAGTACATGTGTCCATGCTCGCTCCTTCCCACGTCCACGTGAATTGCTACTACTGCCCAAAATGCTCGCGAGCCCACCATTCTGTTTACTCAGTTTAAAGGGAAATGAGGCTTGATATGAAAGCAGCCATCGTGTCTGTTTATTTTCGCTACATATGTTCTGTTTTGCGTTCACTTCATAAATAACAATCATTTAGAAATATTTGACAATATTCATTCAGCAGATTCAGATAACATTTCTACATTTTTCCCCTCTTGAATCACAGCTGAGTTTTTTAAAAAAAGACTCTGAATTTTAAATTTTCAAATTTCAAATTTAAATACTAATTGTTTTAGGGGATTGCCTTGTTTACTAAACAACCCCCCCAATAAATAAATAAATAAATAAATAAATAAAATTTCCACTCTTCCAGTGGGCACCAAAATGACCCATGCACTGACCCTTCCTCAGTTCCTCAGATGAATCCCAGATTATCCCATGTAAATCATACATTAATCTTTTTAAGTCAATGTTTGAAAATGTGTATACCTTCTGAAATTAAACAGCCAGATTTCAGTGCCAAACTGTCAAACGGCAGGAACTGTTAGTGACCCGCCTAGAAAGCTGGCTCTGATTAACGCATTGGTAATATCTGCGAATGAATAATGAAGTTATTTTAATAAAAACACTAATTAGGCCCATCAGTAAGTCAATTCAGTGCTTGCCATGAGGCATCCATCGCAGTGCTGTAGGCCTGCGAGTTATGATTTCAGATCATTTAAATATTTAATACTCTCATGTCATTATTTGGGAATTGTTCTTTAGAAAAGTGCGCAGCCAGAGGTTCATTTGCCCCGAGACATGTGAATAACACTAATCTGCATTTTAAACTTTATTCATTTCCCATGAAATCTTGACATTTTTTTCATAGTCTTTGATTTTTTGAAAGGGTCTGTTTAAAACATCTCCCTGTATGGATCTCTTTTCCAGCAGTGCGTTCAGTTCAGAAGTGATTATGTTTATGCCCTGTTCCCTACAGTCCCTACAGCCTCCGCCCTCCACAGTCAAAATTTAAAATTGCTGCCATTCAGAAATGCTGCTCTGCTTCTGCACAATAGCTGACACATTTATGTGAACAGTTACCTGAAGTAACAGTGTGAGGAGAACACGAGCGGCAAACCCAGTGCTGACATTCAGTGACAACCATATAATTTACCATTCGCATTCATTTAGTATAAACTAACCCCTTATTTCCTTGAGTTTTAGTTATGATTAAGTTCAAAGTCAACCTGAAATCTAAACTGACCTTGTTAGTTCATGTCTCTGGTCATAAGCATCATATCGTCATATCACATCACATCACATAATTTTTTCCTTGTAATATTTGATCATAGTGTGGTGACTTTTTCCTGCCTTGAAAACATCCTCCAAGTTTTGATTACATCACCATGTACCAAAAATAATATTAACCAATAATATCATGTTTGACTTCTCACCACATCACCTATCATCTCAGCTAACTCAGATGATCCTCTTTGACACTGTGGTTCATTCAGAATTACAGTATGGAAGGAAAATGCATTACGATTTCCAATTCACATTGATTTTAAAGTTTAGGAGATGTCATCAGACACTAAATGAATAACACTTCTATGATATACATATTTAATAAACTTACTGAGAGCCTGTTAAGAGACATTAAAGGTAGAATATTCAGAAATTTAAATACAGTTATGGTCATGGTTTCAAAATCCCTAACGTCCTGTATAATGATATAATAGAAAATCTTAAAGATTATGTATAATGTTGACATATTAGCTAGCTAATGGACAACAGACGAGCCAACTCATCAGCCAAGTCTGTCACATATAATTAAGTGAAAAGAAACAATGATGACAGTTTATTATGTCTGCGGTCATTTTGTACACTACAAAGACCAGGTTCTAAAATATAACGGGTATTTTACTATTCTACAGAATAAATTGTACTGTACTGAGTACTGCTGTCATATGCAAAAGTTAGGGCACCTCTGGTATTTATTAACATGTACTGTTATGTTTCTAAATGTAAATATGTACACATCCTCTATAGAGAACACACTTTTGTACATTTCAATCCACAAATGCTGTTTACTTACTGAATTTAACATATAAAAAATCTTGAAATGTGGCCAGTGCCAAAGTTTTAAAATTGAGCAATAAAATGTGCAGAAAATGGCCTGTTTAACTCTGTTTTCTGTAGACTATGTTTTAACTTATTATCACTTAGAAAGTCAATAAAATGTAATGAATACGGCTGTACATACTTACAGATGTACACTGACCAAAATGCAATGCAATATCTAGTGAAATAGTTCATGTTGCTGGTACCAATGGGACTTTTTTTGTCATTACCTACCTTAAGATATTATTATTATTAATATGTTTCTACCTTTTTATATGATGCAACTTCATTCTCAATGTTTCAAAAACATTTCCAGTCATTAAGGACTATTTTTTATCTGCTTCCAAGCTTTTTATTAATTATTTGAAAGCTATGAATTTGCGAATGACTTACAGAAATTAATTTACACATGTATCTAAAATTGTGCTGTATTTTGATTGCTGAAAACATAGATTTCAAGCTTTTCAACAATTGTGTACATTAGTTGGTCCTTTTTGCCATTTAACCCTCTCTCTTTGTCAACATATTTGTATGAGTTATGACTCTTAATATATATTATTGCACATCTGTACACATTAATAGTTGGCAATAATTATGTACACACAAGTTTTAGTGAGACAGTAGAACACTGGCTTTTTCGGTTGTTGAAGTTTGTAGATCAAAATAGCACTAGCATTCAGTTTCTCTCATGGAGCGCCTCACTGTGGACTGGAGGCTCCCTGCGTCACTCCAGCTCTGGTAAAGCTCCGGCTGTCAGTCACTCCCAGGCTAGTCCACTATGATCTATATCTCGCCCCCATCCGTGACTCAGTGATCGATTAAAATAACACTCTGGCTTTGTTTGGGCCTGTCCTCAATCGTCTATGAATGTCAACAGGCAGGAGCTGTTTGTTTCAAGGAGAATGACATCGCAAAAGCAAAGAGTTTGACTTTTACAGTTGTTCTCCACTGTAATAGAAAAGAAGTGAGAACTTTAGGACTGTGCCTGTAGACCTTGAGCCTGTCTGATGAGCTGGAATAGCATGTGACAGTCTTTTCTTTATGGTATTATACTGTAAATATATGACTCAGTCAACAAGCTGTGTTGTAGGCTAAAGATCACAAAGCTAGTTTACTCTGAAATATTTTTAGAGATAGTAAAAGTGTTTGACTCACAGGATAACTTTTTAAATATGCATTTTACCCTTTCAGATGCATTTTGTTACTGCTGTAAGAAACCTGGTAACACTTTGCTTGAATCCTGCTACAGAATATAAAAATAATCGTGCCATAACCAGGTAATTGCAGATTACATCACATACTATTTTTTGTTGAGTGTACACTGGTTGGCCATCATGACATCAAATATTATGACATGGATCATGACAATTACGAATAATGGTAACACAACATTGTTACATTACTGAACATAATCTGTCTTGACAATTCATGACAGTTTATGGCATATCCAACATTTGCCTTGACATGTTTATGACATAGTTATATTAATGGTTATGTAGTGGGGTTTAGGTTAAGTGTTAAACACCATATATCTACAATGTAGTAACTTTACAGGAGACAGTCTTAACTTTTGTATATTAATGTAACAAGATTTTATTGCAATTTATTTAAGACTATTGATCAATTCATCTAGAAACATTCACAAAATGTAAAAGCAACTGTTGTTTTCGAGTGGTGTAAATAAACGGGGGGTATTATTTCAGTATAGGAAGACATTATAATGGACTGGTTATGCCCTTGTTAAGCCTTATCAGCCCAGCAGCTGATAAGTACCAGAATACCCATTTTATTGCTTTATTGAGCAATAACAAGGGTGAATTGAACATTTTCTAGTATACTTTTATTTGTGTATTACACGTCATAATGATTTTCACAACACTCATTAATTTGAAGGTGTGGAAAAACATCCTTGCAGATTTCTTTGAAAAACTGGAAAGCAAGAATGGAAACTATAATAACTCAGGACTCATTAATACAGAAAAAACTGATATTGTGTTTAGTTGTTGAGGATTCTGTATAAATTTAGTTAAATATATATTATCTCTTTTTTTCTCTAACGCTGGAAATTGTCCTTAATGGCGGGTTTGATTAGAGAAAAAAAAAAAAATAGTAAGTGCACTGTACTCTACATTCCTTCAGTGCAGTACAGCTAAGTCAAACAATGAATTAGCATTTGTAGCACTTCTTGTAGTAATTAAGACTCTATGAGCGGGCCTGGCATGGTCATTTTAGCAGTACATGGGCAGTGAGGACTCAGACAGCCAGGCCGTTTGGTTTTGACCCACTGCAGGTGAACGGCCCCCAGCATCCATCACCATCCCTCGGTGTGTATGCGTGTGTGAGTGTCGTCCTGCCTACTGGTCCAGCTCTCCATCTGCTGGCTAGATAAGCGCCACGTCTGTGGGGGGCAAATCTTTCAGCTGACTGTAGTTATCTGTCAAATTTTAGCGGCCACTTCCAGCGCACACAAAGGTCCGCCACGGTGGGAGTTAGCCGGTACTATGCAATGTTTAATTTTATCATTCATTACCCGTGCCCCAGTAGCCCCATATAAATGATGTAATTGGTTTTAAATAGCTTTACAAATTGACTCTATCACACACAAAAGTACTGAAATGTCAAAGGAAAGACTGTAACTCTGGAGTGATGATTCTGCCGCTTTAATGAGGCAGGT